AGGATCACCCATGGAACCCCCAAAGATCCCCCAAATCCCAGCCCCATCAACCCCTGCTGGGCACGGAACCGATCCCGCTGCTCCGGGGACAGGGACGGGCCGTGCTGCTGCAGCCACTCGGGGTACTGGGGACAGTGTGGGGACATTGTAGGATCATCCATAAAACCCCAAATCCCAGCCCCATCAACCCCCACTGGGCACGGAACCGATCCCGCTGCTCCGGGGACAGGGACGGCCCGTGCTGCTGCAGCCACTCGGGGTACTGGGGACAGTGTGGGGACATTGTAGGATCACCCATAAAACCCCAAATCCCAACCCCATTAGGGACTGCTGGGCATGGAACCGATCCCGCTGCTCCGGGGACAGGGATGGCCCGTGCTGCTGCAGCCACTCGGGGTACTGGGGACATCATGGGGACATTGGGGTCACTGCAGGATCATCCATAAAACCCCAAATCCCAGCCCCATCAACCCCTGCTGGGCACGGAACCGATCCCGCTGCTCCGGGGACAGGGACGGGCCGTGCTGCTGCAGCCACTCAGGGTACTGGGGACAGTGTGGGGACATTGTAGGATCACCCATAAAACCCCAAATTCCAAATCCCATCAGGGACTGCTGGGCACGGAAACGATCCCGCTGCTCCGGGGACAGGGACGGGCCGTGCTGCTGCAGCCACTCGGGGTACTGGGGACATTGTAGGATCATTGTAGGGTCACTGTAGGATCATCCATAAAACACCCAAGAATCACCCATAAAACCCCAAATCCCAACCCCATTAGGGACTGCTGGGCATGGAACCGATCCCGCTGCTCCGGGGACAGGGACGGCCCGTGCTGCTGCAGCCACTCGGGGTACTGGGGACATTGTAGGATCATTGTAGGATCACCCATAAAACCCCAAATCCCATATTTCCCACACCCTAAGAGACCTCCTCAGGATTTGGGAACCCGTCCTCATTTTTTAGGGTCCCCTGCCTGTTTTTGGGGTCCCACCTTCTCGGTGATCTCCTTGAGGGCAGGGTAGAGCACAGGGACAGCAGGGACTCCATGATGCCCCCATCACCCCTACACATTTCCTGCACCCTAATGGACCTTCCTAGGTTTTTGGGAACCCTCCCCCCATTTTTAGGATCCCCTCCCGGTTTTTGGGGTCCCCTCGCAGTTTTTGGGGTCCCACCTTCTCAGTGATCTCCTTGAGGGAGGGGTAGAGCACGTCCTTGGACAGCAGGGACTCCATGATGCCCCCATCACCCCTACACATTTCCTGAGCTCTAACAGACCCTCCCCCCATTTTTAGGATCCCCTCCCGGTTTTTAGGGTCCCCTCACGGTTTTTGGGGTCCCACCGTCTCAGTGATCTCTTTGAGGAAGGGGTAGAGCACGTCCTTGGACAGCAGGGACTCCATGATGCCCCCATCACCCCTACACATTTCCTGCACCCTAACGGACCTTCCTAGGTTTTTGGGAACCCTCCCCCCATTTTTAGGATCCCCTCCCGGTTTTTGGGGTCCCCTCACGGTTTTTGGGGTCCCACCTTCTCGGTGATCTCTTTGAGGGAAGGGTAGAGCACGTCCTTGGACAGCAGGGACTCCATGATGCTGCGCATGACGGGCAGGACGCCGTCGCCGCCGCCCTCGTCCAGCCCCAGCCCCTCCAGGGCTTTGGCCAGCTCCTCCTCCGAYCCCGGGGAATTCTGTGGGGTCACCGTGACCCCGTCAGCCCCCGGGACCCCCGG